ATAGGTAGTCCTTGATTTACAACCATTTGTTCAGTGACCATCCAAAATTACAATTGTACAGAAAAAAATGGCTTTTGACAGTTTTATTCACTTTATGACCATTGTGGCATCCCCATTGTCAAAAGATCAAAATGCTTGGCAACTGATTCATATTTATGACAGTTGCTGGGTGGGTCATATGATCTCCTTTTGCAACCTACTGAGAAGCAAATTCAACAGGGAAACAAATTCTCCCACAAACAGCAGTTGCAGTCTTCTCTGATGTTGAGTGGATACAATAAGAATTAACCCCGCGCTGTGTATTTCTTTCTATTAGTCAGGAAATGGCCATTTTTATCAAAGTTTCATTCACAGTAGCTCTGTGGGCAGTCTCCAAATGTGACATATAAATAAAAATAAATAGTTTCCTATGCATTTTCAAAATCCTTCACATCATACCTAGATGTGTCTCAAAGTGATACATTTAGCTCACATCCAGGTACTGTGTTTATGTCATATCATGGTTTGCATTTTTTTCAAAGAAATAAAGATAAATGTTTATTTTTACTGGCAGATCACAAATAAAGGAAAAGATAATTTAACCACCTTTCCTCAATCTAATGCCTTTGAGACATTTTATATTGCAATTTACTCTCTCTAGTAACATGTTGCTAGAAAATTATTATTCCTAGTAGTTAGGAATAATGAGAGTTGTGTCTCATTACAAACACTGTTTATTCCGCAGGATCCAATCCGGGTCAGTTACTGAGAGATTTTCCTGGGATTATCCTGGGATACATCTATTCACCTTCATTCATGATTATTCTCTTCCTTTTTTCTTCTCTCGAACCATGGTGGCACACTAGTTAGAATGTAGTATTGCAGGCAAACTCTGCCCATAGCCAGGAGTTTGATCCTGACTGCCTCAAAGTTGACTCCACCTTCCAAGATAAAACTAGGACAGAGATTTGGCGGTAATATGTTGATATTTGTAAATAGTGGTGGGTTTCAAAAATTGTTTGAACCTACTCTGTGGGTGTGGCCTCCTTTGTGGGAGTGGCTTGCCACCCATGTGACCNCATAACTTTGAGTTTCAAATAATACTGATTTCGTTGTTGTCTTAGGTGACATCTGTGAAAAAAATTAAGGTGCTCAGGCATGAAAATGTGCCGCTCAAACACTATACTTTTCCGCTCACACTGAAAAAAAATTAGAGGGAACATTGGTAATATGTATCCCCGTACCCTTCACAATCATCTTTTCAAATCCAGATCACTGAATAGCCTTCTTAAGAGCCAAGGTGGCGCGGTGGTTAAATGCAGCACTGCAGGCTGACTGCTAGATCAGCAGTTCAGCGGTTCAAATCTTACCGCTTGACTCAGCCTTCCATCCTTCCGAGGTGGGTAAAATGAGGACCCAGATTGTTGTTGAGGGAAATATGCTGACTCTGTAAACCGCTTAGAGAGGGCTGAAAGCCCTATGAAGCGGTATATAAGTCCACTGTTATATTATTATTATTATATAATCCAGCCTTTCCCAATTTCCATTAATCCCATCAACATAATCTAATGACAAGCTGACAACATGAAACTCAAAGTAAACATACAGTGTGTTTCAGCTGACAAGTCTAGATACTTGGTATTTAAAACACATAAAGTGTATATGGTATGCAAACTTTAAGTGCATAGCAGTTTTAGAAGTGTGTTCAGACCAAATAGAAGCTATAATTGGCAGATCCTTCAGTAATGTGCTCTTTTAGTCAGAGTAAATAAACATTTACAACACTAAGTCATTATAAATCTGTTTATTTATAAGAGCAGTTTAAACATGTACCTTCATGATTAGGTATGTACTGGGACATGTTGCCTAGTAAATGTGGTTTTGATTGTGGCTTCTTTGATATGGTTCCAAGTTTTATAATCCATCGATTTATATGAATTAGTCAGAATTACTGTTATGCTCAATAACAGAATATGTTTTACATGCATAAATGCCAACAAGCCGTGTAATAGACTTATTTAAGTATAACATTTAAGTATAAAATCGCAGTCTGAAAATCAGACTTGTCACATGCTACATCTTTTCTATCCTGCTCTATGGAGTAGAGAGTTGGTCTCTGACACAAAACCATTTGAAGAAACTAGAAGCATTTGAAATGTGGATTTACAGGCGGCTGTTACGTATGAACTGGGTTGACAAAATCACAAATGAGGAGGTGATAAGCCTCCTGGAAAAGCAACGGGAAATCATCAAAGCCATTAAAAAGCAAAAGTTAGAATATTTTAGACATCTGATGCGACACCCAGAAAAATACGGCATCCTTCACTTAATCCTCCAGGGAAAAATTGAAGGCAAATGAGGTCCAGACAGAAGAAGAACCAGACCTAAGGGGCTAGTTTGGACAAAACTCAGCAGCACTTTTTCATGCGGCTGTTGACAAAAATAGGATTGCCAACGTGATCGCCAACGTCCAATGATGGATATGGCACAAGAAGAAGAATTATAAAATTGTTCATCATGTACACAAGAAACAGATTGAACCTACGGTGAATACAGTGGTAGTGGATCACAGCTCTGGGTCTTCTCTTAGAAAATATTAAGGAAATCCAACATAAAGCATGTGCTAGAATACAATCCTGAAACATTGCACCATTAATATTTCATTTGATTGCAGAAGTGTGGTCCAGGCAAAAAAAGAAGAAGCGATCTTTATGCATGGAGAAAATAATAAGAAAATAAAATGCAGTACTATAGTAAAAAAATAATAGGAAGCATTTGGAATAATAGCAGCTATCAAAAAATCAAATAATTTGAGTAGCCTATCTTGGAATTCAAAGGTTTAACTAATATAAAACACAAGGAAAAAAGACAGCAGCAAAGATTTTTGTGCAGAATGTTTGATAATGACAAAGAACATAAAGATTGAAAGAGGAAGTTACTGTTGTTAACTACAGGTAGTACTTGACTTACAACAGTTGATTTGGTGATTGTTCAAAGTTACAACACTGAAAAAAGTATGACCGTTTTTCACACCTCAGGATCATGTGATCAAAATCCAGATACTTAGCAACTGTCATATTTACAACAGCTCTAATGTTCTGGGGTCATGTAATCCCCTTTTACGACTTCCTGAAAAGTCATAAAATGGGGTAAAAAACAATGAATGTCTTACTTAGCAGTAAATTTTGGGCTCAATTGTGGTCATAAGTTGAGGACTACCTGTATTATTATTATCTTAATTTTTATTTCGATCTGTCTGTTGTGATCAAGATTGTCCTGAAGAAAAATTAAAAGTCTGAGTTTTTAAATCTATTGTGCATGAAAGTATGTATTCTTAGTTGTTAACAGATTCAACTTTGATTACTTATAACTTGGTTCAGAGGTGGGTTCCTGCCAGTTCTAACCTCTTCTATAGAAGAGGTTCCACAAATCTACAGTGCCATTTAGAACTGGTTCCAGCTCCCTCCCCCCGCCCGCCTGCACATCATCAAGATGAAGAGCGAGAGGAGGAATTCTGGGAGTTGAAGTCCACAAGTCTTAAAGCTGTCAAGTTTGAACACCCCTGGGGTTTTTTTTTTCCAAAGGGTTAGGGGTGCCAGGGTCTTGTAACTTGACAGCTTTAAGACTTGCGTGCTTCAAATGCCAGAGTTTCTGAGCCAACATTTTGGTTGCTAAGCAAGAGCGTTGTTAAGTGAGTTTCACCACATTTTACAAGTTGGTCATGCCCACCCAGTCACATGACTGCCAAACCACTTCTACTCGGTCACATGGCTGGCAAGCCTTTCCCACCCGGTCACATGGCTGGCAAGCCATTCCCACCCAGTCACATGGCCGGCAAGCCACTCCCACAAAGCAGGCCACACCTACAGAAGAAGAGGTTCTAAAAATTTTTGAAACCCACCACTGTCTTGGTTGCATTGTTCAGTTCAAAGGACAGTTATGTTACAAAAATCAGATAAATGATCAGCTTTGTATGACAAGAATTGTGGGAGCTACTTTTGAATGAAATGGTTGGCATATTTAATATTATAACAATTCTCGGGTGATTTAAAAAGAAAAATATTTATTATGGCTTGTTATTATTTGGGTATGAGATAAATGTTTTGGTCTAAAATACAGATTTATAGAATAGTATGAATCAGTATAGTGATGCCATAGAAAATATTTTTCTCATAGAACCATTGTTTCACTGTATATTTAGCAACTATATATTTAGCAACTGAACAGGCATAAATAGTGTTACCCATCATTTCAATGGGTAAATAATGTAGTATATACAAAGGGATACAGGGATATAGGTTTTCATAATCATGGTAGCGATATAGTGTAGCAAATATTTTACATATATGCATGTGTATACCTGAAACAAGATAGAAACTGGAAACCACCCTCTTTTTACTAATTGATAGTCATAACTTTCATCTCCAGGCGTGTTTTCTCCATTAAGTGAAAACGCCAGTGAACTAACAAGATTTATTTGCTTGCCACAGGCCATGTGCAAATAAAGTGAAATAAAAGATAAATACAGGGCATTTGAAATGAATTGTGCTCAGTAGCTTTGCAAATAAATTCTGTTGTTCAAACAACTGTTTTAAAATTTCTGTTCTTCAATTCTGTTGTTTATATTACAATGTGCCGTTTTGTTTCTTCAAATCTATATCCGCCCATCTCAAACAAGAGGCCCTAGGTGAGGAAAAATCATAAAACAATTAGAAACAATTAGAGAGTAGTACAAAATTTAATATATATGGCAGCTGAGAAAAAATATCAAGGTGAATATTTATATATTCATATGTTTATAAAATTATATATTTACATAATTTTATAGTGAATACTAATAATATGATTATGTTACACAAAATAAAAAAGTTACATTTATGCTACCTCTCTAATGACACTCATAAAGAAATATAAAATATTTCTTGTTTGGCTCAGAAGAGCTTAGATAGGAAAGCAAGAATGAAATTGTAAATACTTTAAAATATCTTAACCTCTTTTTCTTTTTCTCTTTCTCTTCACAGTCAGAAATGTCTGTCTTCTTCAGGTAAGATAGCTACATATTTAATAAAGCACTGTTAATCAGACACATCTGACAATATAGTATTGGTGCAAGTAACAGGAAGATGTAAAAACACTATGCTGATATAATCCACTAAACCAGATGGTGACTGGACAATTTCCTGTAATACATTAAAGAAAGTGGAGGAAAAGGTAAAGAAAATTCCAACTGATTTTTAAAAATCTGAATTTAAAATTTGCTGAAATGTACTTTACAATTCACATTTTATTTTTCTTTTAGTGTGTTAATGTATATGCATTGCTATGGCAGAGATTTTGTGATATTTTACAATAATACTTAGTACTCATCATATTATAGTAGTGTATGACACTTTTTAGCAAACATAACTATACATAAGTGTATTATAGATGTAGATTTGTATAGTATAATCAATCTTTTAAATTATTAAACAATATTATTGCCTTTATTTTAATTAAAGTATGGACATACTTTATATGGTTGAAACACAGTAATAATACAATGTAAATTTTAAAATTGTATATGAGGTTGAGCGTACACACATTTCCATAGGATATGTTTGGATGACAAATGTAGTCATAGGTAAAATTGTTCCATTAGGATCATATCCCTTCTTTCTGAAAAATGTAGATTTTTTTCATTTTTAGTTTGGGATTTTTTAAAAAAAATATTCTTCCTTTTTTGGAGGTTCTATTAATCTTTTCCCTCTAAAAATAAACATTTTTAAGTATGTGGATTATTTTAGTGTACTTAGGCATGTTTTTATAATTTGTAAATAAAATTAAAACATTTTTTAAACAATTTACACTTCATAGCTTGGATACTCTACTGTATAATAAACAAAGAAATAAAAACTATTTTTGTCTTTGGAGAAGATGTTTTGGACTTTTCCCAGGGTTTTTTCCCCCTCCAAAATCACAGTTCAATCCAGTTCTGGTAGCACTTTTTCAAACTAGTACATTTTATTAAAAGGGATAAGTTTTCATGTCCTGCAGCTCATAGAGCATTAATGCACTCATAGCTTAATAAATGAAATATGTATCTTAATAATTTTGGTTACTTTAGTCCAGAGGTGGGTTCCTGCCAGTTCTAACCTCTTCTATAGAAGAGGTTCCACAAATCTGCAGTGCCGTTTAGAACCGGTTCCAGCTCCCTTCCCCCGCCCATCCACACATCATCAAGATGAAGAGCGAGGGGAGGAATTCTGGGAGGTGAAGTTCACAAGTCTTAAAGCTGTCAAGTTTGAACACCCCTGGTTTTTTTTTTCAAAAGGGTTAGGGGTGCCAGGGTCTTTTAACTTGGCAGCTTTAAGACTTGCGTGCTTCAATGCCAGCGTTCCTGAGCCAACATTTTGGTTGCTAAGCAAGAGCGTTGTTAAGTGAGTTTCACATTTTACAAGTTGGCCATGCCCACCCAGCCACCTGACTGCCAAGCCACTCCCACCCAGTCACATGGCTGGCAAGCCACTCCCACAAAGCAGGCCACACTTACAGAAGAGGTTCTAAAAAAATTTGAAACCAACCACTGCTCTTTAGTCCCTTGAAACAGAATTTGATTGTAACACCTAGTAGTGTTGCATTTTTCAACAGTAGACTGCATGTTAAAGTATCTTTAATATATTAAAGTCTTCCATTCATGGAATAAAAACTTTATGAATCAGACCTTTAAATTTATGCAAACCATAGTGAAATAACAAGTGATTTTGCCAATAAATAGCATGATTTAACAAGCACAAATGATGATCAATTGCAGAATTGTACTCCATTATATGTGTAAGATTTTAAATTGAAAGAAACATGGTCCTTACAAGTAAGTTATTCATAGGCAATAAAATGTGGTTATGAGAGATTTATTTGCATGGATATGGAATACATCAACACTGTAATTAATTTACTCTGATCAGTGTTTTCAAATTTAGGGGGCAAAAATTGAAAAAAAGTTTTAGTACCAATTACTTGCTTAAGGTTCAGATGAAGTGATTAAAATACTTTAAAGTTATTTATCACCTCTTGTCCAGAAAAAAATAAAGGTGCAGTTGCCTTTTACATTATGCAGCACATTTCATACTTCTCTGAGAATATAAAAGAATAGATGGATTTTTTAAAAGCAATTTTTTAGCTTAAAAGTATGCATGTCTTCTAAGAAACAAGGACTATGTTTACTGGTGGTAACCTCTGAGTAAGAAGTACACAATTGGAATTTAGTTTGGAATAGACAGGATTTAAAACATGCCAAATAGGGGCCACTTTATAAGTAAAAGGTTTTTTTAGAGTCTGTTTAAACTCTACAAGCAATAACAGAAAGTAAGAATGGATCAACCACTGAAAAGAATCTGTCCATGGTGTCCATAAAATGTAACAGTTGGATGATGATGTGGGGAACAGAAATGTATTTCACATATAGAATGCCACAAAAATACGATACTTCTTTCGTTACACTACACATCTGATGGATCTGTGGTTAAAAGTTTAGTCAGTACATTAAATAGGAAGTTAGAGGCCAGGACAAAATTGAAACTTCCAAATTTCAGTTAATAGAGCAAATACCGGTAGTCCATGAGTTATGACCACAGTTGAGTCCAAAATTTCTGTTGCTTAGCAAAGCATTTGCTCAGTGACTTTTGGCCCACTTTATGACTTTTCTTGCCATAGTTGTTAGTTGTTAAGTGAATCACTGCAATTGTTAAGTTAGTAACACAGTTGTTAAATGAATCTAGATTTCCCATTGACTTTGCTTGTCAGAAGATTGCAAAAGCTGATCACATGACCCAGGGGTGGGTTTCTCACCCCGTTCCAACTGGTTCGGTTGGAACGGGGCCGGCGGCATCCTCGTGCACGCACGCGGTGCATGCATGCGTACTAGCGTCTGTGCGAGGCTCCAGCTGCTTTTGGAGGATCGCGCAGGCGCTGTATGCGTCCTGCGCATGCGTGGAAGCGCAGAACTCGTCAAAACCGGGTAAG